AATAATTCGGACGGAATAGCTCAATACCCAACGCTAGTGTGGCTAGTCCTAAAGGACTCAATGATACCCAAAATAGCAAAAAAACACCTGGCAAATGTTTTGCGCCTTAAGAGAATGAGCTCACGGAGAATGGAATGCGCTCCCCAAATGCAAATATCGCAATTTTATGAAATCGTTGAAAAAAATTGCTACACATTCTTGAGTTTCCTGGATCCCTTAGCAGGACAAAAAACGAAATGCAACTGAAAAGATAAAAATTCGTAGAGTTAAGGGTTAACTGTTGGATTAGCAGTCTGTAATTTTCTGGACCGTAACGAAATCTAGCCTTGCAGGGTGGACCTGGTCCGCTATACAGTAACAGCAGTCTCCTCACTGTCTGCACACTTGACTTGGGGGAAGCCATGTAGGTCTCGTCCTCCCCTTTCCATAGCGCCATAAATAGACCCGAATCTGTCAGCTGCATCTTAATGGGTTACGTGTCGCTTAGCATTATGAAATTGTGCAGAACACTAAAAACACCGATTTTGAGCGATTATTTTGCATTTAGGCACTACAAGTAAGCCTCTTATAAGGAGTCTGATGGCAGCCTAATCAAGATTTGAATTCCAAAAACAATTTGGTTTTTAATGACAGCCCGGAGACAAAAGCAAGTACTGCGTGTTCTGCAAGATTGCAACCGATTTAGAAGAATTGCTAACTAGGGTGACAACATAAAATCTAGTTCACTAGGAACAATGAACTTTTTACTAAAGTTCAATATTTGCTGCCAGGTGTTTGCGGTTGAAAATATAGAATGATTTCTGGGAAGCTAAATGAAATATTTATCTACCTCACCCCATTCCTCTCATCCAGTATTTTCTCGGTCGAATGCCCAGAATAAAGGATGCACTCAAATTTAAAACAATTCCTGCCTTTTATAAGCTAATGACTGAGCAAATGGTACATGGCGTTCTTTGGCAGAAGTTCCGCTTTTGTCAATAAGACGCACTTATCCTAGACTTGTGTACGAAGGATCCTGAGATTTGATTGATTCATTGCCTGGCGTCACCTTTTCCGTTTTTTTCCTATTCAACTCATTCATCTGATATTTGGAAGAACGGTAACGAGAGCTCCAACGACAGCACTCACCCGGTTTGGACAGTATGTATGTGTGCTTCGCTGTCCGTCTATCTAATTTATCCAAGTACTTCAGCTTAGTAGCGTAGGCGGATTTCCCCGTGAGCTTGCCTCAATTTGAATCGTCTACCACGGAGATCAGCCAACAAACATAGGCGCAAATGTCCACCTACGCGTTCAAATCATTCATAATTCCTGCCTTGTTGTCAGTAAAGTTGGTTTGCGAATGGCTACGGGACCAGACAAATTTTGTTCTGCTCTTATTATCAGTTGACTGTGACAAGCTGCGACCACACTGTCGGATTTTTGCACATTTTTCCCGAAAATATTGTAAGTTACCAGTGCAGCATTTAATGAAACCCGTTGGCAGATGTGTCTGCCCAGTCAACATTTAATTCACTCAGTCTACCATCTGTTTATTCATTTATTCATTTACAAGAAGTTATTTTTTTCAGTCCCTTGGTATTAACGCAAACGTAAGAATTCTTTTGCTGGGTTAATGTGTCAACTCTATAAGAAATATATCTAGGATATTCCTACACCTCGTTAAAAGTGTATCGGATGTCTCTACGGGGTGCAGGAAAAGACCATGATCTGATTTGCAATCGTGAGTGTAGTAATAATCCAGAAATAGAAATGCAAGCGCATCAGGCATTAGGAAGCCTCAGCTTAGGATTTGCAGTTCTATGTTCCCAAGTAAATGTCGCGCAGTGGCAGTGCCCTCTGATACGTAGATTTCTAGCTTTGGACGATGACGCTGACACAAAACTTCGTGCGGTGGCTTTTCTGCCAAAGATGTATGTAAATCTGGGGTAACCGTACGATAGTGCACTGCGCAATTGTTTTGCGACACCTATTTGCGGATACACTGAGATGCAGATATTCCATAGCTATGGATTTGTAAAAGACCCTACTTGCGTGATTTAATGGAAAAGCAGTTTCAACTAAAAAGTGACAATCCCACAACACCAGGTAAATAATAATACAAACTAAAAAGCGTCCCTCCACAGTGAATAGAAATAACCAAAACAGTATTTGACAAGCGTAGACCTAAAATGAGTCAAATTTAACGTTGGACCTGAAGTCTTGGAAACTTTATTAAACCTTTGAATGAGGTATTGAGGATGGAAGTTAGTTCGCATTTGCGATCTTCGGTCTTTACTCCCCGTAGGAAAACTAGGAAAGTGTACTGCAGTGTTGCTGCGCAAATGCAATCACGCTAAACGCACCACAGAAGTCTGAAAACCTGAAGTTTTGACCACAGGTACATAGTATTCCGACGCCGTTTCGTTCGTTTCATCGTTGTGTAACCAGCCTTGTTGTCCTAGAATAAAAACCAGTTTTCAATAAGCCCGTGCCGTAAATTCCCGCTTAGTGTTCTTAGAATATTAGTGAGGTAGTAACCAACATTGTAGTTACATTGGTCAGCCTAAGGGCCTCTCCGCATGCCGTTTCCGTATACATTTCAGATGTAAAGTTTCGTCAAATATTCTGATAAATGCATTTTATTTTTTCAAGTGGAATGCCAGCTAAGGTATTTATTCGGCCTCAAAATTTATGAACCATAAGTTAATGGACCATTTGACGGTTTGCCTTTCCATATCCGTGTACCGTAATTCTGCTTAGAATAAGTGCTATTTTATGAATCTTCCTTCAGCCTTGAAGGCTTACATTATTTGTCGCCATATTTATAATCCAGAATTAATGTCAGTCATGTCAAAAATTCTGGCTGTTTCTATACTAGTAAAAAAACTAAAATCTGTAGATAGTGATGACATTTCGTCTGGATATAACAATGGGATTACTGAATGATAAAGTCGCATAAACTCTCGACAAGAGAACTCTGGACAGTCATGAGGATTTTGTTGCACTCCAAAATAAGCATGCTTAAATTTTGGTCCATCATTTTGCAGAGCTAATTGCGTGGCTTGAAAATGATCTAGGGGCTATTATGTATTTTGCTGAGGTAAAATTTGAGCTCCACCTTCACAGTCTTATATTTATTACTATTCCTTGTAACGTTTGCTGAAGTTTAAGACGACGGGACAGTTTACCAAACATGACACTCCTTTATTACAAGCTACAAGCAAGCTCTAGTTAAGAAACCAAAATGACAAGATACGAGGGATAAATAGTCCTGCGGCACTTGACTGAGGCCATAGTTTTGTTACTAGTGGGATCCTACTGAATTCACTTCTAGGGCAGAAAAGGTCACAAGCACAGATATTGTTGATAATCAACGATGAGTTCCGGATTTGTCATTTGGCATGTTCTGAGTGCAGAGCTGTACTTTAGGTATGACAGGTCTGTAACTTTTTTCGACTTACTGCGCATCTTGTTGCTACAAATATGGATGGACAGGATATGATTTTATGCAACTGTGGGCTTAACGCAACGGATCTAAATCTCGTGTATACAAGCCCCATCATCCTTTGTTGAGCACACTTCCCCCAGAATCTCAGAGACAAGCACATCGTTCGTATTGACGATTCTGTGGAATTTACCAACTAAGCTGTTACGTTTAAAATGACGAGCGCCAGTAAACACCTGCTTCTTATATCGTAGATATGGATTCTTTCCATGTTGCTACTTACAAAAATCCCGTGTATAACACAAGGATTTTTGCCGACGCAAAAACAAAAGCTTGGTGGTTCAGCTTTTCGAAATATGTCTATTTCTACTTCAATTGGGACACTGTGGTTTTCCCTCCGTTAAAAACTTGGAAAATCTCATACTTGTCGGACCCAAATCTGTAAATTGATACGAATGGATTTATTTAGTGATGCCAGCTGATCGGATCACTCAGTTTTTTATATAGATAAAAATTGGTAAAACAAGCCCGGAAGCACCTTGAAGAATAGGCTCACATCAGGGAAAAATCCACAAATGTTGAAGGTAGTAGTGCAGTAATGAAATTTCATCTACCCGTTTGTTTCAGTATTTACCACGCAAAATGGTGTGCACTTTTGCCTACAGAGATTGTGCATTGCACTGACCAGCAGAATTTTCTGTAGACATCAGTAGTAGTCCACTGAAAGTCATTCGAGGCTTATAATCCAGCAACATGTGAAATTTAAGTCTCGTCTCTGATCGAAGCTCTAAAAATATGCCCAAATTGTTAATGCCCTGAGTTAAGCTATTGGATATTTGGGTGAAGCAAACTGTAGAACGCATGTTACAGGGAAACGAAGCTATTACGACTCTTCCGTTTGCGATTCGTATCGTAACTCTTAATATACAGGCATTAAATTTCAGTCAAACCTTAGCTTAGTCATACACTGTTGGTTTCCTTATGAAAGATCATTCATCCCACAGTGACACTGGCATACATGTCGGAACTCTCCTTTTTAATGAACTGTAGGCAAGCGGTAGACAGACTGATAAACAACACCATCATTTTGTGAGATCATTACCAAACTTATGCAGCACAAAGCTTCAAATTTGAATCTGAATTATTAATGCATTTGTCAGACAGATAAAAAGCAAATAAAATTGGAAAAATCTCGATGACATTACCCATTCCTAAAATAAATGCGCATTTCTGTTGGCCTACGGCTTTGTAGACTAACCGTAAACCAATTCATTTTGCGGAATTTTTCTTTGAACGATTTGGATCGTAAAACGAACATTCGCTACTTGTCAAACCAGCTGACGTCACCAGATATGCGATTTCGCTTGCCAGTGTGTCGCGTCTAGAGTTTCAGTGCAGCAACCTATACAGGAATATTTGATGTCTCAACTAAGAAGCGGGTTCACTCAAAACTTTGACCGGCCAAATCAGCTGGGCAGTTGCCAAACCTGGTTGCATTGATAACGCCACAAAGACTCTATAATAAATATTATTATGAACGACTTTTTGTGTTACCTATCTATGTCATTCAGGAGCACTTCAAATATCAAAAGCTTGTCGTCTAGCAAAGAAATGTTATCCTTCAAAAATGCCCGAGCAACCAACTGACTATCGTGTTGCTGTATTCGGTGCTGGTGGCGTAGGCAAAACCTCGCTTGTTCTGCGCTTCGTCCGAGGGACCTTCCGGGAGACCTACGTGCCAACCATAGAAGATACTTACAGACAGGTAAGAGGGGCCTTGTTTTTCTAAAGCATCTGACTTCTGTATAAAATAATGTTTTGTACCGGGATGGCATTGTTTTGACATCAGGATTTTACTTCTGTAAACGTAGAAAGCCTCTACGATCAACGGTGGGCAGTTTTGTAGTGAGCTACTAGTTCACTCACCCTTGACCTCCTAATCCTGACTTGTACGACCACTCAGTTGGGATTCCCCTGTTTCAAATAACAAGGTGACAAGTGTAACAAACTATGTGTAAAATAGCATGAGATAAAACTGCTGGGAAGAGCCGAGTTGTTCGCCGAGCTTCGCAGTTCTATCCATCAGTCGCGGTAACATCAGCAATGCGTTGTTGTGATGCGGGGGTGTCGGGTGTTGGTTGTTTTGCTGTGAAGAGTGACGTGCTTTTTTATGCAGTGGAGCCCTTCAACATACTTCCTAAAGTGAACTGAATAAGGCACACACTATTGAGCGTCAACAGGCGGACCAGATAGCGGGATAAACCACGGTATTAGTCCAGAAAACCTCACTTCATAGGAATCTGTGAGGTCAAGTTCAAAGACGCCGGACAGTCAGAATGCGAGTAAAAATTCCAATCAATAGACTTACGTAGAAAATCCATATTAATAAAAGACCACCATACTTCAGAAGCACGCATATAAACACGCGCAGCACTCAGCACACACCCATCAAAGCGCAGCTCCGCTTCACAACAACGTATCCATTGCAATGTTTGAATCAATCGTGAAACATCTGTAAGCGAATTGCCAACCACAGAGACTGATTCCACCATCCACCGAACGGCCTGTGCTACCCACTTTTTCCACTAGATAATACAAAGTAGATGTAGCTAACATTGTCTATATAATAACAAAAGATTGTGGTCTAGCAAAAGCCAAGGAGATGCCATAACACCCTCAATTCTTTTTGAGTATAGATAACAGACTCCAAAGGACCAGTTTAAATGATCTCATGTAATATCGGCCCATGTCATCTCTTGACATTTGCCGGAAAGGTAAACCCAGGCTATGTTGGGGTTGACGAATTATGACCTGCATTCGATCAGGTTTGAATTAGCGCCAGCCAACAGGTTACGGTTTTTCTTCATCACAAGTCATTCTGCTCACGGTTTAGCCATCTGTCAGTTCTGTCGTATCGCTGAAAATTCAGGCTGCTTGATAAATGCAGCGAGACGTTACTAAAACTAATGCTAGGATTTCGACTACCACCGGTGGCACAAAACTGTGCTGCATTATTCGTCCACCGCAGTGTCTTAGATGAAATTAACTGGCCGCAGATGATAACCTCTCTTAAAGCCATACTGACTGATGGTTGCGAATTTGCCGTCTGAGTCCAGAAAGATCAAAGGTTAACTCTTAATCTCCCTTGCTTTCAGAACCTTGTTTTTAGCTTACACGATGAAAACTGCGGTGTATTATACCTTTTATATCGTTTTACACGCTGATATAATAGTTGAATTCTGTATCGTTTGCTTTTGTTGTGTGTTTTCATGATATGCATAAACCGTCATCCATTGTGTTCAGATTTGACCAGGTGTACTAACGACAGCATTGAATGGACCTAATGGAAAATAATTAAATAATTCATCGGAAGGTGTTTGGCGAGCATATTGCAAGAAATTTTTCAAAGTCATTAAAACTAACACTCAAGCATTACACTTGTGCTTGTGTACATACCACACTTAATGCCACAGGGCAGAAAATTGAAGAATCTTCAGCTTCGATGGATGCTTATTCGATTGTTTTGCTAGACGTTAGGGCAGTGAGTGATTCAGTCTTACGACACTCTCGGTGTGATATACAATTGAGTACTAATATTTGTACCGAGAGCAACCACAATTTGTAGGGTTTCTTACTCTCCTGTGCGCAGAATTAGTTCAAACGTTTTACGATGCCGAAATATGGTGCATCCCAAGGTTGAGTCGAAAACTTGCCATGATGTATCTTCGGAGTATGGTTTTAAATATAATAAACAAATAAAACCGTTTGTATTGAAAAGAAACTTGGAAACAGGAAAGTTGAATCGATCAGGCTGCTAGTCTAAACAGATAGGACCACATCTGTATGGACAACAAAAAATTGGCTGCAAATCTGGATAATTTCACCCCACCAAACGCTTATTTTACCGTTTAGCTAATCCGAGGCCCCCGTACATTTCGTTGAAGGCATGCTTGCATGTCGATTTCCAACTGTTAATAATTCGATTGCATTGACACTATTGGCAATGTAGTATATTGCCATCTTAAAGGGGCTACAGAAAATGAAGTAACTTCTGGGTGGGAAGAATTTTGGCTGACGGAGTTGCCTCCGTTTAAGTCCTTGGTGACGAAACAAAGGAAAGGATCCAGTTTCTGAAAGGACTAACCTACTACCAGGTATGATTCACAACAGAAATACGGATAAACTACGATCATTCAACCCAAACAGTTTAAAATTGCTAAACCCAAAGAGAAGGCAGTTGATAGATAGCAATTTTAACCGTAGAAGCCCCATGCAACGTAAAAATTAGTCCAACTGGATGTCATGTGGATAAAGATTTCTTTAAAAATCTATCATAATGATGCATTTCCGGTGTACTTGATTTGCAGTTGTCGCTGTTTAGGAAGTCAAACTAGGTGGCCGAACCTAAATGCTGGTCTGAGAGACTGTCATTCTTAGATGCGTACAAACAATGAAGCCAAGGTTAATGATCACAAGGCCGGAATTACCAGGGGCGTGACATTTTTAGACGGGTTGGTTGCGCCATTTTCTTCCTACATCTCGCGAATGTCTTCTTTGCAAACCCGAGTAACATTTGTCCTAAGGGCTTTATCGGACTGCTGTACTCTGTTCGGAAGTCGAAAAGTTTAGAGAAAATAATTGCAAACGAACTCATAAATCATCGTTTCTGCTGTAAGGAATAGCTCCGTAAGTAGACAGATGATAACGAAGTGCGGCCTTCCAAAGGCACACGAATCAATCCGTCCCACACATAAACTTGGGGACGGTATTTTTGAAGAAACCTTCATTTAAAGACGACAGAATATCCTAGTTATAGGAAATAACGAATGACACAAGCACTCATTAGTTGCTTATCTAGTTACTGATATTTTATTCTTATGTACAGTGCACAATAAATCATTGTATTTTGAAGTCATTTTCACAAGTAGACGATGCATCGTGATAACAAAAGTTGTAGACAAGCTCAGTGTGCTGGAAAACACTTCTTTGTTTCAAGGGTCAACATAGCATAGTGCATCAGGTTTACAGTTCTTGTGAAATGCTATTACCATTCCAAATAACCTAGGAAAACAGAGAAGTACATCCTTCGAAGGGTGACAAAATGCCTACTGTTGGATAGCAGCAGACCGCGATGGACTGGCCTAAAAGTATCTCGCAGTTTATCCGTCGTGTCTGCTATTACTATCTTATACGCTATCCTGCATGCTAACCGCAGCAACATCCAAAATTAGGTTGAAATATTTGGCTGCAACTATAGGCTGTAAATTATGCAGAGATCATAATATATCCCCAAACGTTTGGTTCGTTATAGCCATGATCTTTTTCCTAGGTTTTTAGCTACTGGAAGGAACATAATATGTTATCATTTGTTGCTATTTTAGGTGATCAGCTGTAATAAGCAAGTCTGTACTTTGCAGATTACTGACACAACAGGAAGTCACCAGTTCCCAGCCATGCAGCGCCTCAGCATGAGCAAAGGACATGCATTCATTCTCGTTTATTCAGTTACCAATCAGTCGTCATTTGAAGAGCTCCCTCATTTGTATAATGAATTAACCATCATCAAACGTGAAGAATTAGCCCGCGTGCCCATTATGTTAGTCGGTAATAAAATCGATGAAGGTGAGTCACGGGAAGTCAGTACCGCTTTGGGCAAGGCACTGTCGCAAAAGTGGAAATGTGGATTTATGGAAACTTCAGCCAAAACAAACACCAATGTGAAAGAAGTATTCCAAGAGTTGCTGAGAATGGAAACACGACAAAATATGGCACTGGTTGGTGAAGTCAAGCAAAAAAGTGGGTTGGCCAAGCTCTTTAGGAGGAGATATACTACCACTACTGAAACTTCACCAAGTTTTTCGTCGGATAACGTGCTCGATTCTTCAGATGTTCCACGACAAATGAATACACAACCGTCTGCTGGAAGTTCAAAAGAACGAAAGCCTTCCAAAATTCGACGATTTCTAAGGCAGCACTCAAGTGCAGATTTGAGTTCAAACAAAGGAAGCGAAAACAGTTCTGAGACAACATGATGAACTTCCATTAATCTGAGAGAAACGAATGTAAATCCTGGGTGCTCGAATTGTACAAACCATGAATGCATCCTTGTATACTGACTTTATCTTTCCTTGTATTTTGCCCATCAACAAAGTAGACCATACAGTATTTTTCTATGGGTCCCGTTATGTCTCCTTCCCATAAACAGGGTTTTGTTCTTTTCAGGACCAGCAGTTGCTCAAAGTGTCCTAACAGTGAACTTCTGCTTAACGGCGCGTTCTGGACCAACGTGAAAGCCCTCTGAAGCACATTCAGTAGTTTATTCATAGGAGAAAAATGGCAGTCTATTTACCATGGGTTTTTAGTTCAATGAGCGGTCTGCAAAAGTTACCCACTAGCATGGCGGTTTCCCGGGTCTAGTTTGGACCTGCTTCAAGTTGCCACCCTCATCCTCCAACATAATCTTGCCTAAGGCAAGTAAACTACAGCACAACTGGGTTTTCTGTTGCCTTGTGTTTAACTGAAATGTTTATAAAATGAATTTTGGTATATTCGCGACGCTACTGCAGGCACATATTTAGGATATGTCAGTGAATGTCACCCGTCTCCCATTCGGTCAGTTCACAGCTTCAGAGGGCATTTTTCATATTCACCCAGTTTGACAATCGTTTGTCTGGAAAACACAACATTTTTGGAAGGTTGCTTCAGTAAAAAAAACAAGAAATCTCCGAGTACATGGTCGAGCACCACAGTCCAATACTCAACCGACTGGTTGCTGAAATCCAGCAGTCAGTGAGTCAAAGCTGCACATCTCAGTCCCCCTCGAAGTGCTCAACTAAATTAATGCATTTTAACTTAAATTGACACCGTTAAAGTGGGCGTCGGTTATCTGGCGCATAAATAAAGCATGCTCTAAACGCCACAAAACGGTTCTTCCTTTGAAGTTCGGAAGTATTTTGGTGGAGATTTTCGGTGAAAAATTAAGAACAAAAATTATATGTTCACATCCAGTCAGGTTCCGTAAAAATTTAGCTCAGAAGCTAAACTGAGCTCTATGAGCCATACGATAATGCATGCTAATATTCCTACCCAAATCGGAGGTTTTGAACCCCGAGCTTAACATCATATTATCAATCAAAGTCCACCTATCTGAGAAATTTTCATATTGGTAATTTGAGAAGATGTTATTCCCGGAAATAATCATGGTTGGGTTGACATTTTCCTTGTGGACATATTTTGAGTGGTTCCATAATATACTACCATGTTGTTTGGAGGTTCATTTATCCTCTCCCTCCTGTGCGCTAAATATTGATGGTGGTAACTGTGATGAAGTGGTCTAGCTTAGTGTAACAATTCAGTGGACCGATATCTTGTTGCAATCAGAAAATGCAGGAGAATCCCTAGGTTGTCTAATCATAGACGAAGAAAACAGGCTTCCAGGATTATTTTCCGGTGTTTTTCTCTACGAACACGCATCGCCTACAACTTAATCCGTATGGCAGAATATTTCAGCAGAAACTCCAGAAACTAAAAAATTTCGGAGATGAGAGTGCGCATTCTTTCAGTATCGATATTACCAAGTAAAGCAGAAATATTTCGCTATTTTTTTACTATCATTGGTTATGGTATTTTGATCAAAATTCACGCCAAGCTAAGTTTCGGAAAGAAGTCCTAGCAACTTAAATTCGGCGGAACAGGTTGGTGTTTTGGTTACGGCTCTCTTTCTTTTATCCCATTCACTTGGGTAATATCAAAAGAGATATTCATACTTGCCATGCCACGTGACATGAATAGCTTCCGGTATCTTCCACCTAATAGTGTCCATAAATGCTCAATCACGCCTCTAGACACCTTCCTAAACTTACTGGGTTTGCGGTCGTGCTCACCATAACAACCCACTGATTACGTCACCCCGATTCCTATAAGAAACGCTTGCAATTAGATTACCTACCTCAGAAAACAAGCCAAAGACCATCTATGCTACCTGAGCCACCAACATCCTCCTCAATAGCCGTTGATGTTCTTGCTGAGCGAAAACTTTACCGCCGATCTAACACGGTGAGAATGGTTGAATGGAATCCAGTGGTACGTACAGGATGGTTTTACGTGAATTTGATGAGAGAAATATAATCGTAACCTCACAGGAATATTTTAACCCATGTGAACTAATTGCACCAATAGGCACATGTCCCTTTGGTGGCACGCAGCAAAGTCTAATGTGATTCAGGCAGTCGAGTAGCACCGAATGCAGTCAAACGTTGTTTCTTTTCTAGCATTTATCAAATCTTTCAACTTTCCATTGTGCAAAATGGTGCCTGAAAACCCTTATAATGCGTTGTTTGCTATTCGAAGTTCGATCTTCCCTGATGCTGTATAAGTTCACCAGCACCGCGTCAAACTACGCTCCGTTAGTTCACGTACAAATCAAAATCAATTCCAGTGTTTTGACGTTTCACTTTTGAAGATTTGTCCACTTATTTCTTTTTCAAGTTTTTACGAACCTTCAGAACTTATCAGTGTTGTGCTTTGTGTTGATTATTTTCTAGGCTCGTAGCGACAACATGTACAGGGACAGCTCTAAGTATACTGGCTGCTTTACGCCCAAAATACCATACATCGTGAGCGTTCTGGAAAATTCAGACAGATAAATATGGACGTAAATGTATCTCACATGCAGGCCAAATCACAGTTCGTCAGTCGGGATAATTAGTGGTAGCTATACGAAGGAAATAAGACCATGATAAATTCCGATCTTCATAGTGAGACCGGTATCGGAATAAATAGGAACAAAAAGCTGCTGGCAGAACAAATAAATAAAAATGAACAAAAAAGTGCCATCAGCCGTTGGTTAGTGGCATGGGATTAAAATGAAAACTTTACGTCGCATGTTTGCACATTATTTGCAAGCTAACTTATCTGCCATCGAAAAGTAGGTAAACAAATTACTAGGTTAGGTGAATCATGCTGTACGTTGGACTATAGCCCAGGGGACAAAGGCTCTTAGTCAAGTGTTTTACTACTGAAAGTTTGCAACACTCTCTGTGAAATGATTCTGAAGTTTTCAAATAATGTCAAATGGTTAATCAGACTGCCTTATGTTTCACTTGGTACGATAGTCGAGATAACGCGACACATTGTGTTGAAGAAATGCACGACCCATAAGGTTGCTGAAGACTCTTAGACTGCCCACGACCGGTTTCACCCTTCTTGGGGTTCGTCAAGTAGGTACAGTCCTCGAGTTTTCGTCAGCCTCATAAGTAGCGCATTCCGTCTATAAAACTTTGCAATATTTCGAATATCGCACCAACTAAAACATGAGGCGGCGTGGTGTAGCACATTTGATTGCTTAAAAACACCGTAAACGAAAGATTCAGCTAGGTTCCAGATGAGTTTTTAGCCGAAACTAAATCGGTATGCAAATGAGTGTAGATTTCGATTCCGTGCAATCTAGGTTCAAGTACAACATAAGGTTATGGTCCATGGAGCGTTTTCAGCAAACTTATGAATAGTACATTACGTCAGTGCCAAACGCTATTGTACTGAAGCACTGGAGTTCAGTTTGCAATTGTTACGCGGGAAAAGTTGTTTCTGCCAAATAAATTAACTAGATCTCTCGGTGAGATATGTCATTTTCGTTCTCGGGAAAAAAGGCAAAGTTAAGACATTTTATGTCAATAACCAGCGTTGTTTCCCCAGTCTTTGCAAAAACCTTTAAGACGTCACGGAGCTTGCTTCTCTGCAACCTGATTTATAGAATGTTGTGCTTTTCCAACTTATGAGGTAATCTCAGATTTACCTGGTCTAAGTAGATAGACAAAAACGAGCTAGGATTTTGCATGTAATGCTGTGTTTAATTTAATCAATCCTGGTATTTAATTAAATCGGACATGTATGTAATCAAAAATGAATTCCTGTTTAATTTTTCCAAATGTAACCAATAGCAAGAAGATTTTGAAGATTTTTCTAAGCAGCGGACCCCTATCAACGGGAGATTCAAAAGAGTCTACTGTCGAAAACAGTTTCTTATGTAAATGGGAGCGTTTATCTAGCTCTCAAATTTGAATTCAAGTATAACTTCAAGGTGGTGAATGTTCAGCGACCAAGTCCTCCGGATGAGCCCTAAGAAGAGCAAGACGAGCAACTTTAGACAACACAAGATTAGTTTTAGTCCAATTTGCACAGTATAAGTCGCATGTGATGGAACAATAGGGAAAACAGTGCTGAATTTTTTAACTAATACGTTTAATGTTTCAATCAGGTTCGACGGATCCCAACGCAAAACATCCATACACTTTAATTCCGTAGTGCCAGCCTCACTCAGTAGAGCAAGCAAATTGACTGATACTAATAGAGTTTCGGTTTGCAATATTTTTCATCCTAATTTTCTTTGCTTCCAGTAGATCAAACAGTCTGTTATGGAAACACAAAGGTTTGTGAAACAACGGAGAGGTCTGCAGATAACAAGTGTCCCTAGATGTCAAGTAAAAGTACACAACATACTCACTAAGTATTGCTTAGCTCCTGTTAGTCTAAGGCTGATGAGATTAAATATTTCTTGGAGGAAGGTGTTGGTTGTTTAGTTATTGGATGATAATCCGCCAACCAAGCTTGGTAATTCGCTCCAGCAAGTTTGTCTCCAATTGAGGAGACATCATGGATAAGGTGGTTAAGTAGGTACCAACTTCTCACCTGCTATGGTTACTAGTTTCTAACAGGTACCTGATATCTAATGGGGGCTCGACCAGACTTCTTTCAACGTTGTGTCCCACTGAGTTTTCATCTGTTCTGAGAGAATAGTTTGGGAATTGCGAAGCCTTACGGCAGAGTGCCCCCAACATTTGTTGTTCTGGAACACCGTTTTAGTAGTTTTTCTCTTAGATTTTACCAGAAGTTCCCAGTCTTTATTCGTGTGGCTTTTCGTCTAGATGTTGCGCTTGCACGCCTGATGTAACTTCTCTGATTTGTGTAAGCTTGAGCATTTGCAGTCTCTCTGGTAATTAGATGTTATTTTTCGACAGTTGCTTCTTCATCCTTTCAAAATTAGCCTTCTACTATTTTGAGTGCGTGTTCAGGCCATTCGAAATGGACCGGTCCGCTCTACTTTGGTTCTTGTGTTTCTTCTCTAAGTTTTGCATGTGGGTTCTCATGTGGGTTTGGGCACTGATTCCATTGGTCTCTAGCTGTTTATCGACTGGGTAGATTTCAGTAGGCTTGTTGATGTTTTTTTGATGGATTCAATTCAGAGTGTCTTTCTCGCTTTTTCGAGATAGCATGTTTAAGCTTTTCCGGTCGAATTCGTTTCCAGGCTGATGTTCAACCACAGAGACCAGCAGAAAGTGACCACGTTTGTGTCGGTATGACAGTCGGGTCCTGACTGGTGATTTACAACTTATTAAAAGTTTTCCTTCAGGTTTCAAGCGTCTGAATCGCTGCCTGACTGAGACAGATTCCCAACGAATGCACCAATTGTCGGCAAAATCAGGACAGTTATTGGGACCTCATTAGAGATGTCGGGAAAACCAGTTACATGGCTAATTCGGGCGCGCATTAGCCTGTTCAGATGTGATGATTCAGATGCATCCGGCATGCTCTTGTAGAGTGATGGAAAAGCGCTTTCATCGCATGCCCGATGTCCGGAATGTTAACCCCGACTGGGCCGAGGATATGGACTGCTGATGAGTTCTAATAAGTGGGTTCAGGTCTTAAACTTACCAGAATTAATGTCCCAGGACAGAAGAAAGATAACTTATACGATTGTGGTGTAGTTGTAAATTATACAGTGCTCGCAACTACCTTCAACCTTTCTTTATATTTTTTTAAAGTAACAGAGATGGGTTTTTTCGAATTTGTTGGATTCAATCGCCCCGGTACTCATTTCTTTAGAAGATGCTATATGAGCTTTTCTCGTTCTTAATCTTGGATTCCGTGGTGTTTTAGTATAACTCACTCGGTTTCGAAAGTATCCTAATGCAGCGCTATCTTTGATACTGTGGGTGGTAGATGTAATTGCTCAAAGTTTGGTCTGACTCAATCATTTTACAGTAGACCTCATACTGTCGTTATTTATTTAGCACCTGCTGATTATGATATTTAATAAGACCAGCTTTTGCAAAATAAACTCATTTGCGAACATATTTGGTTTTGCGAGAGACTTACTTGGAACCTAGCTGAACCCCTCGGTTTTGATATTTCCGGGCAACTGAATGTGCAGCAATAGGCCGGTACATGTTCCACCTGGTACGATATTCGAGACATCGCGATACATGTATAGACGTAATACACTAATCATAAGGTCACTGAAAATTCTTGGACAACACACGACCAGTTTCGGTCTTGTTGGGCGAGAGACCGTAAACGATAGATTCAGCTGGTTTCCAGGTTAGTCTCTCACAAAATCAAATTTGTTTGTAAATGGGTGTATTTTGCCAGTTTTATGCAATTAGTATTCAAGTAGGACATAAGGTTAACGGAAACTCGGGGACTGCGCATCCCCTACCCCCGATGAGGCTCAGAAAGGGCGAAACGGATTTTCAGCATGATTAGTGTGTTAAGTTCAGTTTCCCTTCTTCTTCTTTCAATTAGCCCGGTCACTGCAGTTTGCCCTCCATTATGCAGGCGGAAGAGGTATCCAATAACAGTTCCGTATTTTGTTACTCTAGACCTAAATTTGCCACTATAATCCGCTTCTGCACTGCAGGTTCCTCGATGAATCCCAAAAATAAAGAACTTGCAGATAGTTGATTTCTTTCTTTTATTTTTATTTTGTACAATGCCATTCCCCTTTTTGTTATAGTGGTTTTGCTCTTATACCATCTTCCTTTTTTTGCCTGAACATAAACCGTTGTTTGACCTTGTCATCGGACGTGTTTAACTTCACACTTGGGTTCGCTATCCTGTAAACACGTGGCTTCGAATCGGTGTGGACTTCAAGATCAGTTAGGAATTATCAATTCCTAAACCGGTGTATAGAAGCCGGCATAGTCTCACGACTTGAGGTTTGTAAAGTTTCCTAATTTTATTATTGTAATTTTGGTACCCCATTTGTAGATAAACTTCCATTTGAAAGATTTTGTTTTTGGCTTTTGCGCGTAACTCGAGGTCCAACAGACTACTGAAAACAATCGATACAGATGTCTTTTTAACTTTTGCACAATATGATCTATTGGATCCAAGCTTAGGTAGATAAGTCTTTGATTCCGTAGAGATTTTTTCTACACCCCATGGCTGTCCAAATATTTGGTAGCGGTCTTTATGGTAGAGTCAGTATTAAATGAAACCCGTACTTTGTCCCCTCCAGTGTCCACGTCCCTCCGTAGCTATTTTGTGCCGATACCCAATACTGGGGTGCAGTGTTGAGTGATTCCACCTTTTCCCATTTTCCCTAAAAAGCCCTTTCGGGAGCATTACGAGGAGACAGAATGGTACCGTACGTTTAAGTCCTCATAGGAGAGAAGTAGCCGATTCTCAAGCGCCCATTCTCCAAGACCCCTCCATGACCTCCTGGTGAGCTTGCAGCCTCCTCAGGTTCTTATCGTCCATTCTGTAGATGGCGGTACGCAGGTGCATTCTACAGGATAACGTTTATTTGTTTATTTCTTGGTTTGCTTACATAGTCCACTTCCTCCATGACGACTACAAAGCTTCCTTTATTGATTAATACAGTGACAATAGTTTCATCTTTCTTCGACCTGTTCGTTGTTCTTTCAGATTCACAAAAATATACTTCAGAGATTTTGTCTCCTTTAATGCTGAAAAAGATAAACTGAATGATATTTGCTAAGCATTTTCATCAACTTTCTTTAGTCGTTATCAATGCTGTTTAGAATACCAGTCTTTGTGAACACGAATTTGCCACTGATGGATGAACAGTGGGAATAAGTTTTTGAATTGCAATGAAATCCCTGGAAGGTTAACAGAATGACGATACAAAGTAAAAATAATCCGAGGCTTCTTAGTTGGTGGCCACCTTGATTACCCGCCAATATCCACATTCCTACCGCACTATCTGATCTATGGAGACACCGATTGACGGTCAGTTGTAAAGTTGATTATTTTCAGACTCACCCTTGATTGCCGCTGGTTTTGGAATTGCTTCCGCATATTCCACATTAGCTGATTTTCTCTTTGGTGGCAGCCGGTGCGAAATAAATGGGATGTTGATTAGAGGCAATAATCGTGGAATACTAACCCTTTTAAGCACTGCACTGTTGCATGAAATGCCATAAAGTGAATTCGCTTTGCGATTAAAATCCCTATAGCTCCTGTTCTTGAGATGCATGTGTTGCTGCTGATCAAGCTTGCGCTCGTGAATTTCAAGACCCATTTAATGTGTCTACTACCAAGATAAACTTAGAACCAGTTAGAACCTGAAACCAAAACCTCTTGTCGGTCTACCCAGTAGACCGTACTTGCGCCACCAAACAGACCGAGTGGGGATTCCCTTATTCTCCTTTCTTTTACCCGGCATCCTCATCCTTATTCTCGTCATTATTTACAGCAATAAATAATGTCTATAGGTAAATGGCTTGTTCTGTCATCAGTCTGAGATAGATCAGATGTCAGATCGGGAAAATTCTGCACGGGATTGTACGGACTACAAACTAAAAACCAGCGCTCCCTGAACTGGGCTGGCTTGTTTATGGATAAAATATTTTGCTTGATGCCACATGTCCATATTTCGATATGTATTTCCAAATAGCGATTGGAATTGAACATTTAATCTCGCTAAATGGTTCAAAATTTTATACAGGTTGATTTAATATCAGTGGTTGGCCATTACGCCCTTTTGCCGTCTGGGTGGGTCGCGAGAAACACCTGTTTCAAAAGTCATTCCAAAGATGAGTTAGCAAATCGTTAAATTACGTGCTGATATTTCATCGTTCACGAGCAGATTCATCAACAGAGCTCATCTGTTTAACTCCAACAGCCCGACAGCCAACCGTTTACATTTTAATCTGAAAACTTAGTCAATTACTTAATCATCGTGAATACCATTCTAAGCGATGCAAATCTGTGTCCGGTAAGAACGCTCAGACAAACGAAAAATACAGTCAACAAAGACATTCACCCGTACATACCGAGAAACGTGAATATTCTCCAGCTTTGTTACATCTGCCAGCATGAAGCGAATATGATTTCCGAATGCTCAAGCCGGTGAAATCGTTTTCTACTTCTGAAAATCACCATTCCCTTATAAATATTTATTCTGGCAATTATAACGGCTTTAACTTCGGTAGCGACGCCATTCGGGGGACGATATCCTTTGCAGGCTGAGACACATAACCGTCATGAACAACTTCAGTCTCGTTTTAAGAACTGCTGGTGATTAATAGACTGCAGTAACGCATTCTGATTGGAAGGAGACTTTTCAAACTTTCGTCGAATTCCGCATTTATGAGTAGGGCTGGTAAATTCAGTTAAACTGATAAATAAATTCGGTCGGAAGAAAAATCAGCAATAACTGAGGAAAGCATCCTCTAAGCTGGATAAACTATGAGACATTCTTTATTATGACGTGATTTCATAACTCCGTGAGTTCCATTGATTATACGCCATGATTATAAACTATTTTCTGAGATTAGCAGATGAGCAAGACTTCCACGGCGGCTCTCGAAATCTTTGCAAAACTTCAGAGACGAGTAAAAATTTCGTCTTGTGGAGAAAGAATGAATTGCTCTTATGCCCACATTCAGTATGAGAAAAAGTTTGGGCCCACAATTTGATAGCCAGCGGATACCAAAACGTTTGATTTACGTTCATAAAGAGGAACAACCAAAATGTACAATACAGACGCCACAAAGCAAAGTTTTTTTGATACCACATTCAGGAATGATATTTTGTGTAACTTAGGGTCTGCTCTACAGCGGACTTACAACGCGGCCAAACAACAGCTCCTGTTTTTTAACCGAGTTATCTTATTCACGGAACCAAAACACAGCAGGATGACATATGGGTTTTATACGTGATAGTCACTCCCAGCCTGAATGCAAAGGATAGTTATGAAATAAGTAGATTTTTCTCGATTGGAAGAGTTTGATAAATCTTCGTTTAAAAATTTATTGTGTAAGTGTGGTCAATTTATCCTGAAAAACCGAGAGTTATTATACAACTGTTTCATCCTTACTGGGAATAGTTGGCAGTGCGCAACCTCGGAACTCCAATCTGGTAGTTAGAAAGCTTAGATTGCTGGGTACAATCAGCTGATCAGCTGTGTAAACAGTAACTATGCTATATGGCTCCAAGTAAATTCGGTCCCTTTGGCCGTCGTATTCGTGCTACCCATCTGTTTATCAGATGTCTGGGGTCAATGACTTGACCAGTCAAATTTGTGCTGTGTTGGTTGATTTGGGCACGTGCAGTTTTGCCTACTTTCCAAACAGTCTGGTAGTTCTTTGTATACCATTCTAAATGCGACTGAAACGACAAATGCAATGAGTTGTAGAATAATCTGAAGCAGGGATTTTCATCGGTAACAGTGCCGTGACCTTTGTGAATACTTTTGCACACATCCTTCTTGACAGTACTAGAACGACTGTAAGGTCCATCGCTAGTAGGTCTGATTGTCCCTACAATGTGCCGTTATGCAGAAAGGGAGCTTTCATTGTGAAACTTTAATTTATTGAACATGAGGAACAAAATGATGGTCGGTTCCTGTCGACAATATTGCATGGGCTGCATATTCACCAGAAAAATGGGATCGAAAAATGTAGTTTGCTGTCCAATATGTTCATGTCCTCGACTCTCTGTCTCGCGCCACTTTTAACCTTACGTTCCATTGTGAGTTCGTGCTTAAATCACTTAATCAGATGCGCTACTTTAACATGGCGCAATGCGTTTATCCAGAGCTGTAATCGGGACACACCAGCTTGGTGTACCCTGGAGAGATGGATTATCTTAGCAGTAAGTTGTACTGTTCTTTTATTTTCATAATATTATAGGTTACTAGTTAATGTGTTTGATTTACCTCCAATTTTTCCACAAAAATTTGGTACTGCAATCAATTGGTAACAGCTTGATCTGCTGATTTAGTTCTGTTGTATTATTTCCTGTTTAGGAGCACTACAATTGTATGTCTGTTTCATGTTTTGATGGTAATTCAGATGCTGATAAAAATAGGGTTGGTCTCTCTCACGAAGATTGGCTTTTAGCCATTTTGAACAACAGTTTCTGTTTTTTCTCTTCCATTTCCAGTTTTAAATAGGTGCCAGACCATTATTTGTCCGGCAAAAGTGGGATTTGACAGCCAGCTTTAAAAAATACTTATTTCAAGCAGTCCACTTACTCCATCGCTATTAGCGATAATCCCCCGTACTGTTTCTGGCTCGTTCGCTCGAAGCTTCGGGTTAGCAGTGAGATGAGATGCAAATGGATACGACATTCTGCATTATAAACTCGTGGCAAAGTGAGACGTAATGGGCAATAACGCCCACTACTATAGCCCATCAAAATTCAATTCTTAATGCAGAAGTGAACAAAGCCCAATGAAAATCATCTTTGCAAACCAAATTGTTTTATTCCGTTGTCACCTTTGCAGTGGGACTGACAATCTGGATTCATTTAAACACGTCAAGCCCAATAAAAGTAATGCCACTATTGCTGTCTCTGCAACTACCTAAGTGGAATCAACCATCTTGGTACATATTTCCGTGTTTGATCCCTTTGTGAATGTTTGTTTTGCAGCCGATCCAATTCTTTGTCACTTATTTTGCAGAACTGCCTGCTGGATTTGTTTACCAACTCTTTTTAAGGTGATGTGGATTTTCTTTTTCTATTTGTTCTTGGAGCGACAGCGTTTTTACGGAACTCGTGTTTGAACAACAGCCCAACGGAATAACAATTCAGCTGGTTCACGAGTTGAAAAATTAAAGCGCTGTGCTATGTTGAGACCCACCAATTAGGCATATACAATTGGAGGAATAAATGCCATTTAAATAGAATGGTATTTTTCCTGTATGGAACTGTAAGCCATTTGCTATAGTTGTCGATTTTTTCACATCTATCCAGTCCTAACTGTTTGCTCACTTAATCCGTTGCCCCTATTCAGGTTTGCCCAATCGTACTAGTACTTCTGAATACCTCTGTGCCTCTAATAGGGTATGCTGAGCAGCTGGCTGCTTATTCCCCTCAGTATACCGTCGCATTAGAATCAGACACGTGTAAGATGCAGTTCGTTGTCCATATCAACATCGAATGGTCCATTATTTTTATGGCTTAATCCCAGGTTACGCTCCACATGGGAGGATACGAAAGCTGTCCGAACGCGTGGCCGATAACGCTAATGATAAAAAAGATCACAGCAATCCGGAAATCAGACAGTGTATCAACATTCCTCCAAGTGCATCAAATTGCTGTGTTGTTACTGACATAAACTTCTGTTTTCTGACCATCTAATCCCCGTTTGGAAAGCCCTGGACCAGTCGATCTCTGACCCAAGTAGTTGCTTATTTATTAAGATGTGGGTGAGTCGAGAGTATCATCAGAGTTTAACAACAATTCGTGTTTAAAACTGAATGTTCATCCAGATATCATCCACGAGGCTATCGGAGAATTTTACCGGAAAAAATGTTTTTCGCCCAGTCAAATCGATAAGATGAGGCACTTACCTGTCCAAATTACTTGGGTGGTTGTCTATGGACAACCGTTTTCAAGCACCCTTGACCAGCACTCACACTGTGTCTCCATAAGTATTGCCAAATAAAAAAAGAATAAAGGTTACAAATTTTGCCATCAACAATGAAAAGACTGTAAT